CTCCAAATGCAGCTGCTTGTTGCCAACTTCACCACATTTCAATGTTGCGTGTAGAGTTATTTCAAGTCATTGTTATTGTTAGAGACAGTACCCATTGAAAAGAATTGCCAAACAGTTGGGTATCCTGACGGCCTGCAGGCGGAGTGCATGAAATCTTTTTTAACGTCTTTACTTAATATCAAAAATAATTATTCAAATATTATTGTTTAAAGATTGTCGATGAATTTCTATTAAGTTTCAACAATAAAATAAATATAAATGATAATTTCGCCTGATAAATATCGGTTGAAGTCCTACTGGTTCTTATTTGACATTTCTAATACTTAGATTCTAATTTGACTCTCGTTGAATTGAATATTTTTACCGATATGAATTATATAATGCAATCCTTGGCCGCAATCTAAAAGTAGGACTGCTGAGTATCCTTGGGTCCAACAATCTTATGTGAGGCCCTCCATTGTTGTTGTTGTTGGTGTTGCTGCTATTGTTGTGGTGTGTGCTTACACTCGCAAATGTCTTATTTATGCTCAGCACTTTTCGCTATCCCAGCGACAACTGCGTTTTTGCTTCATCCTGTGGCTGCAGCAGCACAGATCACAGCAGGTGGGCGGTGGGTTGGTGATAGGATGGAGCAGTTGCCGAAGTGTGGGCGTTGGGTGGTTGCCTAACTCCTTGGCATTATATACACTGTTGTGGCTGGGGCGCGTCTCAGTGCCGTCTGCTCTTCTTGTGGCTTCACTTGCAAATGCTGCCTCCACAATACACTCTTCGTATCCAGCTGTGGGCGTGCCTCTGTGTGTGGGTGTGGGTGTGGGTGTCTAGTGCTCTACGCCATTTGCATTGACTTGGGTCACGGAGGTATCTTCAGTTTCAGCAGTTAGTTAGCAACTGCGGTCATGTTGCATAATGCTTCACACGCACAGCCAAAGAAATTAACGCATTTTTGTTCAGGCCTTGTAAGAGAAGCCAACAGCACTCTTGGCTCTTAGCTATATGAAAGTAAAGAAGTATTAAGTACTTATCTATATATAAAAAAAATTTACAGCTATTATCATTAGAGCACCAATAAAAATGAACAATATTATTGACTTTTCCTCTTATTGGCAGCAAATTATTAATTTGAAGGAAATGAAGGAATTATCAAAATGAATATATTTTACAACATAGCTATTTTACATATAGCTGTATAGCTTCTAAAAAAATGAAGAAAAATATAAATTGTTTTCAATATATTTACTTATTCTTTTTAATAGGAGTTTTGATCAAATTTATAAGTAGTAATAACAAAATAGTTTTAAAATTTTATTGTTTTAATATATTTTAAAACTAGTATGAGAATTGAAGCAAATATTGTGGTTGTAATTAAGAATAATA